TCTGTTCTTTATCCTAGCACAGAGTTTAGGAGGAAAACAATGACAACTCAGCCAGCTCTGCTGGGTGGTTGGCAAGGAGCATCCTGTGGAAGCTGGGAGGAGCACTTTACTTTCAGACTGACATCTCTGTGGGCAATGATGTGTCCCTGGTGGGAGCCATGCAGAGCAGCCCCTGAATGCCTCGGGGGAGCTGCAGGAGTTGAGTTGTTGCTCTCTGGTTAAAAATAGGATTCTTGGAAAGCACTTTGTAGGCTTTTACGACCCCATTAGGCTTACGGGGTGGTAAAAATGCTTCTTTGCCTGTCTGAATGTAAATGCGTGCATCTCCCAGGCTGCCTTCACCCCAAGTGAATGGGATGCCAAAAACAAGGGTTGGTGTGCAAGCTGCCCTGCTGGAACCTTATGGCTGTGTGCAGAATGGGACATGAGTGATGTGCAAGGAACCTGAAAGCTTAGGTAGCATTTATGATGCTGGCTGGGGGCAGCCCAAAGGCATGAGCAGAAGCCCTTGCTTTCGTTACATATTTTACCCCTTGCAGCAGCTGGGATGGCAGCAGTGAGGTGGCCTGGCAGCTCCTGGGCTGCTCCTCTCATGGCAGTCTACAGATAAGCCATAAAAATGCAGCATCATCAACAAAGTAAAACAAAAACGCGATCAATATGGTTTATGTTTATTTAATTAAATAGTACCTGATGCCTGACCTCCAAGCCTTTCAGACTGAATTAGGTTTGATATCTAATTATCAGTCATGTATTGATTTAAAGCAAGGATGTTTAAGTGGTCTGGTTGCCAGATATATTTAAAAATAAATCACAAAGCTTTCGTTATTGTATGTGGTGGGTCCTGGAGAAAGCTTGAAGAAAACCAAAGCAGCGTTAAGATAGAATACTAGAAAGCTAGAGGAGGAAAAGCTGTGCTGAGACCGATTTGTTTTGCTGGCTCTGTTGTGGTTTTCTGACACTTCTTTGCTTTTTTTTTCGTTTGTTTGCTTTCCTCAACGAGGAAGTCTGACAAATGCACGTTCAGTCATGGGATCATTGAGGCTGGAGAAGCCCTGTAGGATCTCCAACCCCAACCCCACCCAGCCCTCCATGCCCACATCCCTCAGTGCCACATCCCACAGTGCTGGGACATCCCAGGATGGTGACCACCACTCCATGGTGTGCCACTGCCTGACTGCTCTTTGGAGAAGGAATTGTTCCTCATACCCAACCTGAAAGGAAGGAAGTGGGAAGTGTGCTTTTGCTTTGGCTCCTCTTGCCTAACAGCTTATTCATTTGTTGTTTCTTGTTTTCTTGTATAATGGCTCTATTGGAAAGCACTTGAATGGCAGCACCACAATGCAGCAAATGGAATTAAAGAATAACTGTAATTAAATCATTAGAGGACAAAGAGCCTTTGGCTGTGGGCTGGGCACATCTGGAACATCCCAAATCAGGAATGCGGTGGTGCTGAGCAGCCTTTGGCCATGCAGCTCTGGCTTTGGTGGGTCTGCACAAAGCTCTTCTGGTGGCTGTGTGCTGTGGCAAAGCAGGGCTGCTTCCACCCCCAGCAGTGCTGGGTGGCATCGGGCTGCAGTCAGAAGGGGATCTCCTGTAATTGCACAGCCCAAACTGGCAAGGAGATGTTGGTGACACAGGAGCAGAAACCACAGCACTGGTGCTGGGAAGGCTTCGTGACTTTTGTGCAAAGCAGTGAAAGAAATGGGTATCAAAAGGCAGGGCTGTACTGGTGTGGTGCAGGGTTGATGGTAATGCCCAGCCTTTAATCCAGCTGAGATAATTATTCTGGGTCCTGTGCTGCAGGATGTGCTGCTGCCAGTTCCTGACTCATTGCTCCCTTTGGGTACCGAAGCCTGGCAGCTTGGGCAGGGGCAGGCAGCAAATAGGAGCCAATGCATTGGTTTTTTTCTTTTTTTCCCCTGAAATCCCACCGTGGCTCACTTGATTGCAGACGAGCAGTGGTCCCACTAAAGCAGAGTCTGGATTTTGAAAAGCGAATGAGTCTTACACAAAATAAGCAGCTCCTTTGCTGACAGCTGGTCTCAGGGCCTCATGGAGCAGAAAGCAGGAAGGTGACCCGATGAAGCATCAGATGTGCAGCCATGGACATTAACTATTAACATAAGAACTCTAGGAGTTCAGCACAGGGTTTGCAAGCACTTAATGTGCTCGAGGAACTTTAAAAATTAAATCAAAGACGCTGAAATATTGAAGCAATGCATTTAGAATGGAACCCATGCACTGCTTTCAGGCTGTGCCATGGGGCAGCCAGCTCAGCACCCAGCACAGGGCACTGCTCTGCGTGCAGCAATGCTGGGAACATCCCCAGCCCCACAGGCAGGAGGTGCCACAGTAAAATAAATGCACTTTTCACACCTGCTCATAACTTCTTATAACTTCCCAAAGTAGGTGGGAAGAGCACAAGAGGATCAAACTAGAAAAAAAAAAAACAAAAAAGGTTGCATTTAAATAAGTTCTACTCTGGGGAATGGGGTTGGGGGGGGGGATCACCATCCCTGGGGGTGTCTCAGAGCTGTGGGGATGTGGCACTGAGGGACGTGGGCAGTGGGCATGGGGAGGTGGGGTTGGGGTTGGGCGTGGGGATCCAAAAGGGCTTCTCAGCTTCTATTCCATGATAACAGTATGATAATAATAACACAAACATATTTAGTGACCCTATAGGGAAGCCAACAGGTGCATCTCAAAAAGGGCAAAAGAGGTTTTCCACGTGCTCTGCTTAGAAGAGGGTGTGAATGCTTTGCTCTCCCAGACCCAAGCTCAGCTGTTCTCTGCTCGCCCTGCTCAGCTGAGCAGAAAGTGGGGACGAGTGATTTATGTGACTATTGACATTCAGACAACGAGCACGTGCTTTTAATTGTACATTTGTATACAAAGAAGGACACGCATGAGAGACCATCACCCGCATTTTAATTGTGTGTGTAATTGCAGCCCTCCGAACAAGCATTTGGAGCCAGAAAATGAGTAGTCTGAGTTATTTCATCTTCTTAATTATCATTAAAAATGTATTTTTATTAAGAGTCAGTTAAAAGGTTAAATTTAAAGCAGTCCTGCCACTCTCTGTCATTTTTCAAACAAACATGGCACGGCAGCAGCAGCCACAGCCCTTCCAGTTTGCTTATGGAAAGCTTCACTGCTGTGCCTTAATTCATCATTTTTAATTAGTGCTTTGAAGCAATGAGCCGTCCTTTGCATGGCAGCTCTTGATGTTAGATTGCATCTCATTGCACAGTGCTACCAGGGAAGGTCACCTGGCACATTCTGGGTTTTGCTGCTTCCTGGCAGTTCTTCATTCCAGCATAACATTGATCTTTATATTCTTCAGCATCCTCTCAGGGTTGTTTGTGCCCAGAGCCAAGTTCTCTTTGTGCAGAAGCCACGTAACGAGCAGAGCTAATTGAGTGCTGGCCATCAGCAGGTTGTGCTGAGAATGGGACACAGCAGCAACCTTCTTGGAAGGGCTGTGGGATGCACTGCTGATCAGGACGTGGGGTTTTCTCCTTACAGCAATGCGTGCATGCAGGTAAGGCAATTTCTAGTCTCAGCTGCATAGTTGTGGACGCAGTGAGGAGTTTCCCATCACTTAAAAGCCTTCCTCTGACTCATGGAGGAGTGCTGTGCCATCCAACCCCAACCCAGCACCAAGGTGGGCACATCGTGAAGGGAAGTGGTGGTTTGTGACTCTCACACCGTCTCACCAATTAGTGAGGAGCAGCACCAATTAGTGAAAAGAAGCACTGCGTCTCAGAAGTTTTGTTTTTAGACCCTCGGAGATTAATCACATGAAAGTAGGTCTCATAAATTATTCACCGTTGCTGACTTAATGCCTTTTTTGTGCAAAGGCCAATTATCAAAACAAACATTCAGCCTTATGGTGATCAGTAAATGAGAAGAAGTCATTCCCTCGACATGTAATAAATGTTTCCATTCCTACATCCCACCAGCACTCACAACTTCAAGTGTCTCCCCTACACTTTTTTAAAAGGTTCCATTAAAGAATAATAATAACAAAAAGGAAGAAAAGGATGTGGTAAAAATCCACCTGCCAAGAAAGACAAAACTTTAAAGGTCATGACAGCTGGCTTTGCCTCCAGATTAATGCAACTTGATGCTAACCAAACTTATTTTACTGGCTTCTCTGAACCCAACTTTTTGCTCCAAAATGGCTCACTGGGGATGCATGTCTGAGAGCTGCCCACTACTGACCCAGGGAGATACTGCTGGCCTGCCCCAGCCTATCTCATGGAATCATGGAGCCACGGAATAGTTGGGTTGGAAGGAACATTCAGGATCATAGAACCGTGGGATGGTTGGGTTGGAAGGAACACTGAAAATCACAGAACCGTGGGATGGTTGGGTTGGAAGGAACACTGAAAATCACAGAACCATGGGATGGTTGGGTTGGAAGGAACACTGAAGATCACAGAACCATAGAATGGTTGGGTTGGAAGGGACCTCCCAGCCCAGCCCTGCCGTGGGCTGGCTGCCCCCCAGCTCAGGCTGCCCAGGGCCCATCTATGGTCTGGGACACCTCCAGGGATGGGACACCACAGCTCTGGGAAGTGCCACAGCCTCACTGCCTCTGGTTAAAGGATTTCCTCCTAAAACCTGATTTAAATCTCCTCTCTTTAGGTAAAAACGTTCCCCTGTACATGCCCTCAAGGAAACTGAGGACAGGAGCTGGGGAGGACTTGTCTGACCCAGTGGGGCTGGGCAGGGCTGGTGGGTTTTTGCCCAGGGATCTAGGTTCCATCTGCCTCCAGTTCGACTGCTTCCAAAGATCTCCAATAGGGCACTGTAGCAGAAGTGCTAAGTCATGACTTGAAGCAGTGATGGAGCACCTGGTGGGAATGCAGGGCCAACCCAGAGGAGCTCAGGTGCACGTGATGTACCTGAGTGGAAGGGCTGGAGGCAGGATCCACCCCTTCCCAGACCTCATTTAAGGACTGGCAGTGGAAGTGAGGATATTTTAGTGGTGAGCCCTGTATGCTTGAGGTCTTCCAAAGGTGAGCAGCTTCTATCCTTTATTTCTGTACCTATGCCTGTTGCATTTGAGCAAATCCTTGCTTGCTGCAGCCTTGGTTCTTGCAGCTCTGCTTTCATTCCTGTGTTTTCCATCATGTTACAGGCACGTTCAATGTAAAGCAGTGAGAATCACATTGGGCTGGGTTATCTCGTTATCTCACTGTGGCTGATGTGGAAATGAACCTGGGGTGTGTTACACTGAGATGTCAGCAGGAGATCTGAACCATTTACAGGTTTAACCTGACTGGGTTTGTGGGAAGGGACAGCTCTAAAACTGTATGACTTTGGTGCTTAGTATTCAGAGAATTCCTTTCTCTTGAGCAAGAAGTGATGGGATCTGGGGGAGCTTCTACTTTCCTAGATGAGGTGTTTGAGTGATTTAAGTGACTCAGTTGATCTTGCAGAATAGGCTTTCAAACATCCTTCGCTCCTCTGAGAAATATGTGGTTGTGGAAAGCTGTTAGACTTTTACCATTATTGTTTGGGCTGTCTCGTGGAAGGATGGATGGCCTCGTTTCACTGATCACTAAATCAGTACCATAAACACTGTGTTCTGTAATTGCATTTTGTGTAATAACTTATAGGTCCTTTAGTAAGAACGTGCCTTATGGCTCATAAGACAGAAGCAGTAGAACTATTTAGCTAATGGATTTCTCTAAGCTGCTGCAAAAAAAAATTTATTTGCATTATAAAAACAGAGGGTTCGGAGAAGTTATACTTGTACCCATTGCCAAAGCAGAGCAAAATGATTTTCATCAGGTCCATCGCTGAGGCTTAGAAAGTGGAGGGGATGGGAAGGAAGGACAGGTCGCCATACAGCTTGGATGACTGGCTGTGGTAGGAGGGCACTTCGCAAGCTGCCTATTGCACTGGGGCCAGGTGGTCTGGTGTTTCTTTGCAGCCTTTCCTAATGACCTTCCAACCTTAATCATTCTGTAATTCCATTGCTTGTTTTACCAGGAAGATGATGTTTAATCATCAAGTGTGATCTGTGGAATCTTTCCCTACAGATCAATCTGTCTTGCTCTGGTTATCTTTCCCATGTTTGGGCTCCTAAGACAGGCTGGTAAAACTTCAGCTATAGCAGAGATGGTTCTGCCTGAGCTGCTGACAGATGCAGAATATTCCATCTAATTAACGATTACCAGAAACAATGGTGCTGTGCTTGAACTTAACCTGCAGGGCTGCCTTTGGTCTGGGCTACATCTCCAGGATGCACTGCTGCCCATCACTGTGCACCCAGACACCTGCTGGAGGTTCTGTGGCCATTGGGAAATACCCCAGAAACCAAGCACCAGAATCATTAGCTGATAATGGTAAAAGAAAAAACCAGCTGGGTCCTTACTTGTCTTGACTTCTGTTGTCTCCCCTGTTCATTGCTGCTCACTCTCAGCTGTACTATTTAGGTTAGGTGTTTGGGGATTCCTCTCTCCTGCTGTGATATCTTTGTGTCTGAGTTTCTCTTCCATAGGCAGCCTTTCTCTCTGTGGCTGGCAGGGCTTCTGTACAGGGGGACAGGCTTTCCTGCTCCTGCCTTTGCTTCCTTTCTCCCCAGTGCCTCTTCTTTCTTCCTCCACGGTGGGTTCATCTCACTTTTCTTTCTCTTTTATTTTCTTTTCCTTGCTACCCCTGTTACCCATGGTTTGATTTGTCTCCTGTCTTTATGAAATGCTTATTCCCTTGCTGTCTTATGTGATGAAGATGGGGGGTAGCTTTGGGTGCTCTGGGGGAAAACGAAGCTCTACATGGAGCAACGCAACCAGGAGCAGCAGGAGGTCCATGCAGCCATCACTGTAAGTCCCTGTGACCCCCCTGCAAAAGGAAATTCAGAGAGTAATTTCCAGCAATCTGATTTGTATCAAGTGCTGTGTGTGCAACTTGCAGTACTAGGGATGTAATAAGAACCACCAAGATGTTTCAAAAAAAAAAAAAAAGCTGGTTAAAAAGTCTCCCATTTTAAAGCTTTATGATGTCCAAAAGTTGGTACTTATTGTCTTGCCAACCTTGGACAATTTTGCTCTCTCTGTTGCAGTCTTCAAGATTTAGGTTGTGTGTTATGGCAATAATGAGTACAATGTATGGAGTATTTCAGATTTGGGTCAGTAGCATCTAGATCTTTTTTTCTGAGAACAATATCTAGGGTTTCATCAATGTGCAGTCTCTGCTTTTTAGAACATTCAGATCCCATAGTGTTGATAAATAAAGACAGTCTATCAAATTGATGATTTGGCCAGAGGCTCTCAATTCTAAAGCTCTGGAGTTTGACAACGTTGTATTTTGTTTATAGTTCAGGTTATCCTAACAGATTTTCACCCATAATTTTCTAGATTCTTGTAGGTCTGAGTACTATTTGGTGCTGGAGCTGTGCAGCACTTCAGTTTGCTGCTTTGATCTAACCTCTGTTCTTTCACTTCCAACTGTCTCATCTTGTCTGTCTCCTTTAAAAATCTTCTATAACAAAACCTGTATGCATGAATACTTCAGCTTCTCAGGAGTGTCTTTAACCTACAAAATTACTTCCTTTATACCCTTGTGGCTATGCCATCCTCTTGCTTTCTTGCAACTTGCCTGCTCCTGAGGTAATTAAAGTTCCCCTACTGTTGACTGTCTGATCTTCGCATTCTCTCTCGGCTCATCTATTACATCCTATGCTTAATTACCGGAGTTTGTTACTTACACATCTTTGAAAGTAAAAGATGTGCCACACAGCTTGTGCTGTTGGCATGATGACCTCCAACCTCTACCACTCCATTCTCAGCTGTTAAGCATAAAGAAAAAGATACCTTCTATTCCTGCTCCTTCAAGGGTTGAGTGATTTTTGTCTTTATTTCTTTAACAACATGTATGTGGATTTTTCATATGTCTTTCTGTATGCTCATTGTGTCAATGTTGAGCAGTAGGGGGAATTTCAGAAACAAAATGGGTATCTTAACTGCTGTGCTGCAAAACATGGCATTCATCTCAACTGGGGTGAGACAGCTTCTTTCCACTAAGAAATCAATGCTTTTTTTTTCTCTCCCAATGGGCATTCTTACCATGTGAAAATCCTTTACAATGTTATTACAGTGTTGGAAAAATGCTTGTATGTTAAATAGCTAAAATAGGCATGTTAAGCCTTTAGTATTTTACTAAAGCAAAGTCCCCTGTTGGCGCATCTTTGGAGCCCTTTCAATCTTTTCTTTAGGAAAATATTTTATTTCTTAATAGAAAATTAAAACTGAAAGTAGACATTGCTGAAAACAAATAAATATTACGAAAAATAAGTCTTTAACGTGGCTTTTCACAAATAGGTAAGCAAAGTTTTATTATCAAGATGATGGTCTGAGGCGAAGACTGCCCAGATATTTGGCTGAACAAGTAATTTTTTCCTAAATGTTGAAATTTCAGCTCATTTTTTTCCCCCATATGTTTGACCTGCAGCCTAGCAACTCTTTCATGTGGACATTTGTACCCAAAGCATTCCCAGCCATGTGAGCCTCTTCTCAGCACAGGAAAGTACAGAGGTAAGCAGTCTAGGGAAACAGGCTAAAATCTGAGTTTAAAAAAAACCAAAACAATCCAAAAAGTGAAAAGAAAATGTACTTGAGAAGACAATGGGAACAAAACTGCAATCCAAACTCAGAGCATGTTATAAGAAAGGAAGTTATGCAGAGGAAGAAGTTATGGAGAACTCAGGGAACTGCTGCACGTTTAACTGCTAGTTCAGAAGGAAATAGCAGAGCTGTTTCAGCAAGAGGTCCTTAAATTAATTCATTTATCCTTAATTTCCATCCACAATAGCATGGCAGTCGATCTCTCCTGCCCACACTGTTTCATTCCCATGGCACTTCTCTCCTTTGCGGAGCTCCCCCTCACCCCCCTAGAACACCCCAAGCCATGTGCACGGATCTGTGTAGAGCACAAACCTGATTTCCTTTGAATTTCCTTTGATGCGGTAGCAACTATCGCTGCAAAATTTATCTCTGAGAAATATAACCTCAGGAAGCAGCAGTAACATTGGGATCCTGATGTTTTTCAAGTTAACCCATGCAAAGCTGCAGGGTGGAACACCACCTCCATTTCTCACATCATTACTTGATGGTCATGCCTACCTAATGACACTCTAATAGATTCCTCATTAAAACTCCTTTCATTTAAAAAAAAAAATCATAAAATCTGACATATAATCACTGCAATAGATGATGGTGGTATTTTTTAATGTTTCTGGGGTGCACTAAGCATGAACAGGCAATTTTTCCTTCAAACCTTTCAAGAAGGGGCCTTTTCTCTTTTACTACTTTCCCAGAGCAGTGATGAGCAGACCCATAGACTCAGGTCCCTTAGGAACGAAAGCACTGAGCCACTTAGAGCACAGCCCATTGATTACCCAGGCAGTATATATGGAGGAATATATGGAATACATATGTATAATGGAGGCTTTGCAAAGCTGTTGCTCACACAGGATGAGCTGTAACATTAGAAACCCCTCACGGTTTTGTCAATTTGGTCCAGAATGCTGTACTGCAGCAGTTAAAGCAGTAAATGAGGGAGAAATTGAGTTGCTCACAAGTTATGCAATGCAGTTAATGTTTGCTTAGTTTTATGTAACAATATTGCATTTTTAATGAAAACATCTATAAAATGTAGAAATGGATGCAGCAGTTGCTCTTGCTGCCTTAAGGTTTTGGTCCCCTTACTCCATGCCAACAACAGAGGCACCAGATGTAAATGGTTTCCTCAAGTAACACAGTGTGCTCAAGAACCTATTTGTTTTTTTTCCTCTTCAAAGTTATTCTCAGATGATAAGCACCCAGTGGGATGTGTTTACTCATGTCTTTGAATAGATCAGATGTATTTCTCCTGGGCACCTATGGGTTTGTCCTCTGTTATTAGGCTTTTATTCCATCAATAACTCACTGTCATTTCAGACCCCACTGGATTGGGATACCACATGGGAGAGATTTCCAGGAGGTCTCCAGGTGAACCTTAATTCCTACAGTTTTTTTGTTGACTCTCAGAAAGCCTCCATGTCCTGAAAAATAGGGATGGCATCAGCATCTCCTGTCCTCAAGCAGCAGTGAGCAGGCTTGCCATCCTCCGAAGTGATTACAAATAATTAAAAGCATGCTGCAAGGTCTGTACTTTCTCACTGTTATGTTAGCTCAAAGTGGTTTTGAAGCCAGCAGATGCAATGAAATCCCAGTGATGGTTTCATTGACAGAACAATAGCCTACGCGTGCTATTCTAGAACAAGAAGCATCAAGCAGCTTTTACAGAATATATGAATTTAACACTACAGATAACTTGCAGCAATGGCTCTACACTAGGGCTTGTGCCTGTGTAAGAATAGCAATGTAACTCTAGAATCTTACCCTGTGCTTATAACAGACAGAATCCCTAATGTTAACTCTGTGCCTGCTGACAGCTAAGATGCCAACAAAGTCATCTTTGAAGCCTTCAGAGAAGGGGCAGGTTAATGCCACGTTCTCCTGAACTCAATCTTAATTTTTTTTCTGACCTCACTCCTGCCGTATTCCCCAAACCTGCAGAAGGATCAGTACCACAAAGTTCCTGAGGTGTGAGGATAAGAATTCAGTGTTCAAAGCTCTGTGGGCAACTCACTGCCTGAAAAGCTTCTGCCCATGGGAAGGGAAGCTGAAGCAGAGGCTGTGAGGATTTCTTGCACTGACATTGGGCAGACGTAAGAGTAAGGAAAGGAGGACAGAAATGAAATGTGGATGCTACTGGCAAATCACACAGATGCAAAGGAGCACATGATTGGAAGAGAAACAGCTGCATGTTGGTATTGCTGAGGTGTGTGTTGTGAGAATGACCTGCTTCAGTGTGAAGGCTAAAGCAAAATTTAATGGTGAAAGGACACCAAAGAAATGGGATTGAAAGAGTATTGGAAGAGTTTTCTTCAGTAGCTTTTCCACGTGATAATTATTAATCGGAGAAATTAAATAGGGCAACCAAAGGTAACAGAAATGATAGCAAATTTCCCTTTCCAAAGCAAAACAGAGTATTGAGGAAAAATAGAGAAAATGCCAATGGTCCTCAAAGATTGGAAAGGGAAAAGGCATGTTTGCAAGGATATGGTTTGAAAAACTCATCACAAATAAGTACTGAATTTGTTTGGGGAAGAGCTCTTCATAGATTTCTATCACTGTGTGCTGTGCTGTTGTAACTGACAATTTCTGGGGTTAGAAAAGAAGGGTGACAATAGGTTACGTATGATGAAAAGGTTCCCAAAAGCTATGGGAAGTAAAGTTTATCTTTCAAATATTCAGAGACATTTGAAGGTGTTTCCTTTACTAGCAGTTGTAATTTGGTAAGCGCAGGGTAATGAGATCAGATGGGGGTATTTTGTTTCTGTGTGTCTGTGCTGCCTCCCCACCCTGACAAAAAGCATTACAAAGGAAGAAGCGATATTACAGCCTTGTGGTAAGAAATCACATGTTGAGTTCAGATGCCAACAGCGTTCGTTCAAATAGGGGCTGATCAACAGAAAGAACACGGCCAGGATTAATTGGCTGTTGTGGGAGGCTAATGACTGCAGGAAGGAAAGCACTGTCAGAGCTGCTAGCAGGAAAATAAAACCCTTGAGATTCTGTAATATTACTGAAAAAATAATAATTATTAAAAGAAGTTTCTTAAAAGGAACAACTGGAATAGAAACAACCAGCAGAGGCATCTGTTTCTTAGGGTGAGAGACTGCAACTCTTTGCAAGGGTAGATAACAGCAGGACAAGGGGAAATGGTTTGATGTTGAAGGAGGGAAGATTGGTTGGATGTCAGGGGGAAGTTGTTTGCTGTGAGAGTGGTGAGGTGCTGGAACAGCTGCCCAGAGAGGCTGTGGATGCCCCGTCCATCCCTGGAGGTGTTCAAGGCCAGGTTGGATGGGGCCCTGGGCAGCCTGGGCTGCTGTGAAAGGTGCAGGTTGGTGGCCCTACCTGCTGCAGAGGGTTGGAGATTTGTGATCCTTGAGGTCCCTTCCAACCCAACCATTGTATGAAAAGGAAATCTGGAGGATGTGAGTGAACAGAATGGAGGCTTGGTCCCATAAAGTGCTTTTTTGCCACATAACCCAACAAATCAGTGGAGTCTGACTCCATACTGGTGTGTCTCTGCTAGCAGAGCTGCAGCAGTGTGTGCTGGTGTTTGGAGATGCTGGCTGACTGCTGCCCACCACCTGCCTGTGTACAGCCCTTTCCATTCTAAAGATGGAAATGGGGGAATGGAGCTGTTAGAAGTACCCAAGGCGTGCACCTATGGATGTCACGAGTATAAAGTCTGCATTAAGCTTTCCAAGTCCTGCTCCTAAGGAGAGATTTGTAAGCGGTTTGTGTGCTGTTTTATGCTTACATCCGATAGAATAACTTTGAATGATGTTGATATGCTGAAACAGTTCTCTGATTTTAATTAATTGATGGAGAGGAAGAAAAAGTCTCAAAGTAACCAATTGTTAGTTGTAAATAACACACCCTGTTTTGTAAGAACTTAATTAGGAAGCTTTTCCTGTTCAGCAGTGGAACGCTCATAATTCTAACAGCCTGAAATAAATAAGCTCAGAGTTGGGCAGCTGTGCACAAATTAGCACTGTCACAGAGCTCAGCTTTTTTAACCCTTTTGTTACGCGGGCTCAGAGTGCGCTTTAACTCACAGTACACTGCTGTACTTGATGTTCAACTCCTTCCTTGCTGTGTGCTTCTTCAATACAACTGAGTGCACACAGCCACCCTACTCTGCTCAGGGCACACAGGGATGCAGGAGAAAGCACTGCTCTCCCCTTCAGTGAATCTGCAAACTTCCCTGAGCAAGGGATGTGTTAATGGCTGACAGCAGCCAAGACCAATTCATCAAGTGCACAGTGCTGGGAGCAGTGCTGAAGGAGGCAATTAAGTCCCTTCCAGGTTGGGATGCTACCTGGGGGCTGACTGCAGCACTGCTGATGCTCTCCTAAGGTGTGGGTAGCATTTTCCCACTGCAAGAGAGATTTCAATGAACGGCAAGGTTTCAGATGGATTCCTGTAGTGCCTTGCGAAATTAAACCAAATGAATGCATATTTCAACATGGGGAATTCTGCAAGCAATACAGATGGCATTTGGGTACCGCCTTGGGAAAACACTTGGAAAGTGCACTCACAAAGGGAAACCTAGTTTCTGCTTTCATTTCCTTTCACTTCATTTTCTACAAATAATATTTCACAGAATCGTAGGGGTTGGAAGGGGCCTCTAGAGATCATCGAGTCCAACCCCCCTGCCAAAGCAGGTTCCCTACGCCAGGTTGCACAAGTAGGTGTCCAGGCAGATCTTGAATATCTCCAGAGAAGGAGACTCTACAACCTCCCTGGGCAGCCTGTTCCGGTGTCCGTCACCCTCATGGTAAAGAAGTTTTTGCGCACATTTGTGCGGAACTTCCTATGCTGCAGTTTTCGGCCATTCCCCCTTGTCCTGTCTCTACACAGTGCTGAAAACAGTCTAGCCTCTCCATTCTGCCCCCCACACCACAGATATTTATAGATCTGGATCAGGTCTCCTCTCAGTCTTTTCTTCTCAAGGCTAAACAGACCCAGATCACTTAGCCTTTCTTCATAGGGGAGACGCTCCAGGCCCTTCACCGTCTTTGTGGCCCTCTGCTGGACTCTTTCCAAGAGGTCCCTGTCTTTTTTGTACTGAGGAGCACAGAACTGGACACAGTACTCCAAATGAGGCCTTACCAGGGCAGAGTAGAGGGGGAGGATCAACTCCCTCGACCTGCTGGCCACGCTCTTTTTAGTGCACCCCAGATGCCATTGGCCTTTTTAGCCACAAGGGCACACTGCTGGCTCATGGCCAACCTGTCGTCCACCAGGACACCCAGGTCCCTTTCTGCAGAGCTCCTCTCCAGCAGCTCATCCCCCAACCTGTACCAGTGCATGCAATTATTCCTCCCTAGGTGCAAGACTCTACACTTGCTTTTGTTAAACCTCATCTGGTTTCTTACTGCCCAGCTCTCCAGCCTGTCCAAGTCTCATTGAATGGCAGCACAGCCTTCAGACGTGTCAGCCAATCCTCCCAACTTCCTATCATCAGCGAACTTGCTGAGGGTGGCCACTATCCCCTCATCAAGGTCACTGATGAAGATGTTGAACAAGACCGGACCCAGCACTGATCCCTGGGGAACACCGCTGGTTACAGGCCTCCAACCAAACTCTGCACCACCAACGATGACCCTCTGCGCTCTGCCAGTCAGCCAGTTCTCAACCCACCTCACTGTGCACTCATCTATCCCACACTTCCTCAGCTTTGTTATGAGGGTGTCGTGGGAGACAGTCTCAAATGCCTTGCTGAAATTAACTGCTTTCCCCCCATCCACCCAGCCAGAGACAACATCATAGAAGGCTACCAGGTTGGTCAAGCACGACCTCCCCCTGGTGAACCTGTGCTGACTACTCCTGATAACCTCCTTTTCTTCCAGTTGTCTGGAGATGGCATCCAGCACAAGCTGCTCCATCACCTTTCCAGGGACAGAGGTGAGGCTGACTGGCCTATAACTGTCTGGATCTTCCTTCTTGCCCTTTTTGAAGACTAGAGTGACATTGGCTATCCTCCAGTCCTCAGGCACCTCCCCCGTTCTCCAAGACCTCTCAAAGATGACAGAGAGTGGTTCAGCAGTCACCTCTGCCAGCTCCCTCAGCACCCGTGGATGCATCCCATCGGGTCCCATTTCTGCTATTACTGTTGGCCAAACCTCTCTTCATTTAAATGGAGTAAATGCAAATGTGCTGTGTGAGACACTAAGTTTGCACCACAATGGGTAATGACTGTTCATTTATTTGTCAAAAAGAGCATTTGTGGTTTACTTTTGAGCCAAAAAGATTGCCGGCCGTTGTTACACATACAAAAATGTGATGTCTCATTTAAGATGTGGCAGCAGTTACTGACAGAAGCAAAACGAACCCCCGGAAAGCACTGCACATAGATCTGTTTTCCAAATATGAATGATGTGATCTATGTGTTATTAAAATCAAAGATTTCCCCGGGCAGAAAGCCATTAAGCCTGAATTAATGTCATAAATATCTCACAGCTCCTTCAGGTGAACAACTGATCAGAACACCGCTGCGGTTATCTCGAATCACGCTCCATTTGTGTGGAAGTGAGCAGCACAGTGCTGTGCAGGTGCTGTGGTGGGCAATGTGCAGTGTGTGTCCTTGGGCCCTGGCACAGCCTCAGCCCAGTGGATGCGAGGATTTGGATTCCATTTCCTTCCCTGCCTCGGAGAGCTTCGACCTGCAGCTCCCATCTCTCTGGAGGGCTGCCTAATGAGGCAGGAAGGAAATCTCTCTCTGTCCATCTTATTAAGGCCGTATCGCTTTGTACAGAATCATTAAGTATTAATTGGGCCAGAAAGAAGGCAGAGGGATTGCTGTGGATAGTCGAGTCCCAGGCCTGCCTCCAGCCAGTGTTTAATTTGCTTTCATTAAGCAGCTTTCAGAGCAGGGACCCAGACGTGGGCCTGCCCTCCTGCACAGGGATGAAGTGACCGTGCCATGTTGGTGTGTGCAGGGACACAGGGCCTAACGCCAAGCTCAAAGGAAGATCCAGCTCCCCATTCACTGCCTGGGTTGCAGTGTGGCTGTGCTGAGGCCTGCCAGCCTCCCCTCCCACGTGAATTACTTCTTTTGTGGGTGGTTCCAAAGCTAGATCACACTCCTGCTACCATTCCACGCTTCCAAACTTAAGACTGCTGTTGCTATACTTTAATTTCGGGAGCTCTAATTGAGTTTGTAAAGCATTATTTTTCCTCTGAGCTGAGAGCAAGATGACAGTAATCTCCCTGATCGATGCCTGTGAAGTTTCCAAGAGAACATGCTGAAATCCCAAAGGCAGTTTTATGGTGTGAATTCAAGATGCTTCCTATTTCTAACAAGAAAGCCTTATGATTTCAAGTAGTCATAGAGCATTATTTCTATGTAAGATTCTGAAGTACAGTTTGTCCTTCATGCAGATATAGATTGGAAACACAGATTAAGGGGAAAAAAAAACAATTGATGGGATGATGCTGGCACCGAAGGTTTTAATTTAAAACAAAAAGACCATTTGAAGGGGAAAAATAAATGTATTATGGGAAGACAAGAAAAGGGTCAAAGAAAATTGAGTTGTACTAAAACGATGTCTTAATTCATCGTGTAAATTTTACTAAGAGCCCGTCAGATAAATGGCTATAGGAGATGTGAACAAAATTGTTACTGAGGTCTCTCAAGGCAGCAGGTCCTTACGAAGCCTCTGACAGTGTAAAATGTTTGGACTATCAAAAATAAGTGTTCCAAACACAAAGATGTGATGCATTTCAGGACAGAGGACCAGATTCTGTCATGTGTAGTTGAAGGCCTGTTAAACTTGCTTGTGACATAAGGGGCTACGATTGCTCCTGCAGTGCCCAACAAAAATGACTTTTATAGAGGTTTTTGAGAACCTTTACCCCAAATTTAGGATTTGGAGGTAGGTTTCTTGAGGCTTCATTTGTACTGGTACGCTA